CATAGTGGCAGCAACATTGGACTCTAACGTAGCAACAATTGTGAGGATGGTACAGGATCAGGCAGTGTTTCATTCTATTTTGCATAGAATCAGAGCTAACTTGACAGCACCTAACAACAGCAACAATAAGTGATGAACACACAATATAAATAGGTTGAAATTGAACAATTGACTTGTTAAGGTCAAACAATTTAAGTAGTCGAACAGGAATTCAAATCTTGCCCTGATTCCTGAGCATTTTAAAGCCATAAATATTGTTTTTTTTCAACAAACCCTCCCGGAGCTACTCAAGAATTGTAGAACTAGACTAAATTGATATTCATCTAAAATAATCTGGTCATCAGGACTGGTCCTGCCAAACTTTTTTATAAAGTTAATGCATAAGTCTGCCAATCATAATCAAGATGCATGTCTAAGGAACTGAATACAGACAAGCACTAAAAAATTAACCATGTGTAGATTGGTATGTAATGATTAAGCAGGATCTGGTTGCTGTAGAATAAGCACTAGACTGTTAACCAGTTAGCTAACTACAAGGTTGGTGGTTCAAACCCACCAGTTGCTCCTCAGAAACCCTATACAAGGTCGCTCTGAGTCAGAACTAACTTTATGACACCTAGCAACAACATATAATAATAGGTAGAGGAACTCTAGCAGCATAGTGTTTTAAATGTGTTGGGCTGCTAACTGCAAGGCCAGCAATTCAAATCCATCGGCTGCTCCATAGGAGAGTGGTGAGGCTTTGTGCTCCCGTAAAGATTTACAACCTCAGAAACCCCATGCAGGGTTGCTAAGAGGCTGTACCAACTCAGTGGCACTTAACAACAACTATATATATAATAATTAAAGACTCCTAGAACTCTGAGCTCCTTTTAACATTTGACATACTCTATAATTTAAGTCCTCAGCATTTTTAACACCATATTCTGTTTCACAAACCATTCCTTATGCCCTTTTATACTACTTCCTCATTGTTTTCTGTGTCTTTCCCCATGTTCTTCAGTTTCTATCTCTACTCAAACTATTCTTTATTTGAAATCGCTCTCCATATCTACTTGTCAAATTACTATCCATCCTTCATAGCGCTTCACAATACTCTTGTTTTCTCTGCCATCCACCATAATCTTACTGTCTGAACTTCTCTGTATAGTCTGTCTTTAGGTCAGTTATTATGTCTTTTATTTTTGTATTATGCAATTAATATTATTACAAATAATGTTACTTCTTGTTGTTAAGTGTCATCAAGTTGGTTCCAGTTCAGTGACCCTGTATAGGCTTCTGAGTAGTGACTGCTGGGTTGGGAACTGTTGACTTTGTGGTTAAGCAGTCCAGTATTTATCTTATAGCACCACACACTAAGAATGAAATATTTACAAATATTTCATAATTAAGATTGCAATATTATTTATTTTTGTATGTGTCAAAGCAGCCTAGCCTTTTGGGAGACAGGATGCTGAGATGTTGCTGTTGTTGTTAAGTTCCATAGAATCAGTTCCGACTCAAAGCGACACTGTATAGGGTTCCAAAGAGTGGCTGGTGATTAAGAACATAGAAATCAAATTTAAATTAGAAAGTAGGTTGCAGTTTTAAACTACTGCATGACCTTGGGCAATTACTTAACTTTCTAAATCATAATTTTATTATGAGGAAAATGGGACCTCACAGATTGGTTCCAAAATAATCAGTAGTTCTTTATACAGAGTTGTTCCTTAAATGCTTATAGGATTGGATTGAATCACTTTGTAGTATGCTACAGGGAGCCTTTCACTGTTTTCTGATTATGGTGATTTTTTTTTCTAAGGAATATTTGGCATAATTGAATAAGTCCTCTTAATTAAACAGTTAGTTTCTTTGACTACCTTATACTGTCTTGATTTTTTATCTTATCTCATGGATTATTTATCATTCTCTTTTATTCTGACTCTTTCTCTGCTCCAAAATATTTGAATACCCCAGGTCTCCATCTTGGTGCCTTATTCCCTAGGTGTACCTTGTTTCCTTTTTACAATATTTAAGTACTATAGTACTATCTACATGCTTTGAATTCTCCTGCTCTGACTTCTTTCACCTTACCTCTACTCCAACTGTGTATGCCATTTCTTTTTTAATATCTAATAGGTGTCTCAAACTTAACATATTTAAAACTTTACTTTTCAGTTCCCCTCCCCCCCTCCCCACCGCTCCTGCTCCAGTTTTCCTCATCTTTTGAAATGGCAGTTTCATTCTTTAATTTACATAGGCCAGAAACATTGTTTTTTTGTGTTTTCCTCTCATACTTCATATATAAATTTTGAGGATTCTACCTGTAAAATATATCCTGTAAATTGACAACTCCACCATCTTCACTTCACTTTTATCACTTTAGTCCAAACTAGCATAATTTCTTACCTGGACTAGCCTCCTATCTACTTTCCTGTTTCCATCCTTACCTGACTATAGCTAAAGCAGCTGGAATACTCTTGGATAATATAAAAGTATTGTATAAATGCAAATGTTAAGTTAGGTCTTAACCATTTCCTTCTTCAAACCTTTCAATGACTTTCCTTTGTAATTCCTATAAAAATCCAAATTCCTAATTATGGTTTGCAGGGGCCCACATGATCAAACACCTCCTGCTACCTCTTCCTCATCATAGCAGCCTCAATTTAAAAACCTTGCACAACTATTATGATGATAATAATTCCCATTATCCTACCTCTTTGTTAACCTTTTTCTCTTAGTGGTGGTAGTTATGTGCATTGGAGTCAGTTCCAACTCATAACAACCCTGTATCAGGTTTCTGAGGCTATAAATCTTTACAGGAGCAGAAAGCTTCTTCTTTCTCCTGCGGAACCATTGGTAGTTTTGAACTGCTGACCTTGAGATTAGCAACCCAACTCCTAACCACTATGCTACCAGAGCTCCGTTATATCTTCTAATACTGTTATGTTTTCTTTACAACACTTAGCATTCTATGAACTTGCTTACTCACGTACTTGATTATTGTTTCTTATTAGAATGTAGGTTTCAAGAAGGCAAGGACCATGATTTTCTTGTTCACCATGTAACCCTAGCAATTAGAACAGTGCAATGCACATTGTAAATACTCAATTAATACTTGTTAACTGAGTGAGTGAATGAATATGCGGTCTTCTTTTACCTCTTTCCTTGTGTAAAATGTCCTATGCATCTTCCTTCCCCAAACAAAGCAAAAATGCCATCCCTTCCAAGTAACTGTCTCATTGAGACAGTTAAACATTCCCTTCTCAGTTCTCACTGTACTTTTTCTTTTTCAATTTATTAATTGTACCTTTTGCATTATACTGTAGTTGTTTACATGGGGGCCTTCAAAAATGGACTATAGAAATCATGGAATTTTTCCATATTTGTTTTGAAGCCCTCTGTTTTAGCTATCTATCTCCCATTTGGATCTGAGGTTATTAATGGATAAGAATTAAGGTTTCCTTAGCACCTGGCACAATATACTGCATTAAGTTAATGTTGCTGAATAAATGTGTGAAAACAAAATCCTGACTCTCATTTTCCAGAAGGTAACATTGTTTGAAATACAAAAATGAGTATAAGACTCTTGTGTTCTGGAAGTTCACAATTTATTCATTATTCAATAAATAATTATTTTCAGCATCCCAGGCATTTGCTGAAGTGTTAAGGATATAAGGACAAAGGTTCCTGTCTCAAGAAACACTATTTTAGTGGAAAATAAAGGAGCTCTTATAGTGTAGTGGTTACGAATCGGGCTGCTAACCTCAAGGTCGACAGTTAGAAACTACCAGCTGTTCCACAGGAGATAGATGAGGTTTCTGCTTCCATAAATGTTTATAGCCTCAGAAACACTGTACAGGGTCACTATGAGTCAGAACCGACTCCTCGGTACTTAACAACACAACAACAACAATTAATATTTCAAGCTATTAGTAGTATAAGTATTGGACAGCTAACCATAAAGTCAGTGGTTTGAGTCCAGCAGGTGCTTAACCAGAGAAAGATGAGGCTTTTTGCTTCATCTGAGATTTATAGCCTCTGGAAACCTATCCAGGGTCACTGAGTTGAAACTGACTCTACAGCACTTAATAATAACAACAATGTATTTTAAGTCTGTAATTAACCTTTGAACTCATAGTACAATAGGACAGAGTTTTGGGGTAGATTAGCTGCCTATCCCAATTTTAATCTTTATGTTGCATGCATGAGGGAGCTTCCAAAAGTTTGTGGAAAAGTTGCACTATCTTTTAATTCAATTTCCCCACAAACTTTTGAGAGCTTCCTTATATGTCTGATGAGTGAGAACTTTGTACACATCGAAACTATTTTTCTGGTACCTTGGTGGTGGTGGTGTGATGTGCCGTGGAGTCAGTTCCGAGGCTGTCAATCTTTATGGGAGCCAACGCCTCAATAGACATGGCGTAATTCCATCATGATGGGCTGTATAGATTATTCAGATAAGGTAGTAAATTTTTTTGTTTTTCATACTACATAGAAGATGTTTTCTTAACATTGTCATAAACAAATAGAATCTAGCTTCCTAATTTTGACTGCAACTCTATTTCTATCCTTATGCAGCTTGCATAAATATAAACAATAATTTTATGATTCTTTTCTTCCAGAACTATTATTTTCCTTGTAATTGAATCACTCTTTGAGTACATATTTTAGTAGTGTATTTGGAATTTCATATAATTGGATGCTTAACAAATTTGGTTCTGTTGGAGAAAATGCATATATAAATAATAGCATATGACTGACTCTAGAAAATCCTTATTATGCAAAATGTTCAGAACTGAAGTCTAAAAGCACTTTGGTAGAGAAGGAGTTAACAGGTTAGCTCCCCTTGGTTGTTCTCAGCATGCTCTCTTGCCTTTAGGAGTTGAAAAGATGATAACATTGGGTCCGGACATGCCTGTGTGGAGGTTAGGGTACTCCTGGGGTTTTTGCAGCTAGCTGTAATGCATGCTAGAACTTGTTCATCTCTGAGTTCCTTGTTTTTCTTTCAACCCTTTCAGTGCCCTGCAGGAGTCATTAAATCAAAACTTCATGCTGATCATCACCCACCGAGAAGTCCAGCGGGAGTACAACCTGAACTTCTCAGGAAGCAGTACCATTCAAGAGGTGAGTTATGTCTCACAGCTAAGGAATAAAGGTAGCTCATTATAGCTAATGTTGACCCTGTTAAAGAGGGCTTATCTCTTCTGGTTGGAAACTCTCTTTATGTTTCATTACTGGGTTCTTAATTTTAATTAACTAGAGCATCAGTGATTACTGTAGATAAACTAAATGATGACCTAGAAAGACAGATGTTATAAATGGGAGCTCTTGATAATTCTGAAATATCAACTTAAAACCCTGTTAAAAGTAACTCATATAATGTATTTTTTTATTTTAGAGTAGTTATTCACAATGCTAATTTCTAAATTGTTAGCAGGTAAAATTAAAAAAATGTTTTTATTTTGTTTGAAAGACTTCTCTCAAATATGTTATTTGTAATATGTAATCTACCTGTTTCCAAAAGGAATATGAGATGGCTTTTCTTGAGCAGCTTAAGCCTAACCTTGGATTATTCATTTTTAAAGTAAGGTGCTGTTTGTTGGAAACCCTCATTTAGTTCTGAACATCTAAGAAGAGTTTACTTATAGTGTCATTATTTTCTCCAACATAGCCTACCAGGGCATTGTTTCTAAATAGAACTTCCCCCAAGAGAGAAGAGGTATGTTCTTGGTATGCCTGTGGCCCCACCCACCTAAAAGTCAGGTATTATCTCTTGGGGGAAAAATGTGTAAGGTCATGACAAGGCTTGTATTTTGAAACAGTGAAATGCCACATTGCCTTTTGTCTGCTAATGCTTTTTCAAAGAGAATTTAATCATCCTTAACTCAATGGCACTTAACAATAATCTTGGATGATTTCATAGGTTTATTAGACCATATAGTTTAAAATTATTACTAATGTCATGCTTAAAGAATAAGTCACTTTCACACTGATCATTTTTTCATAGTTTCAGTATTGCCTGAGATGCAAATGGTTTATTTTTCTCACATACTGTCAGTAATTTCAGTGAATTCCAAATTCTGAAGTTGACATATATGACTTACTATTTAAAATTCATTTTCTCTACTTATCACTTGAATTGTTTCTTGACTGATAGCTCAAAGCTTTACTTTTTTTTTTTTTTTTCTGGAGCCTAATTTGAATCATAAGCTTGAGTTGTTTACCCCCCCTCCCAATATTTTAAATATATGTACACTTAAATATATATACATTTTCTTTTTACCCTTAGAGCATGTATTCTTCTATTCTGTAATTTAAATTTTATTCCTTGAAGAACCATTGTTGTGTTTACATTATAAATATTGTATTATTATTATTACATTTTGGAGTACATGCAATTTATGTGATAGTAAAATCTAAGTTACATATACATATTTAAGCAAGGAAGTTTAATTTCAAAGAAACTTCAATTTAATCAACAAACATAATATAAATTCCACACTTTTGTCACTTACTTTTTGAATAGGAGAATAAGGTAATACGTGATTGATAAATAAATATAAGGTGACTTCCTTTTTTTTTTTTTTTTCCTGGATGAAACTTTTATAGCTAAATTTTTCCTTAAAAAAAAAAAAGCGCTGCAGTTTCTGTTTTGAGTGTGTTTCAGCTTCTATCCACAAGGGGGCAGAAAGGACTATTAAATTGATAGTCTAAAAATGCCACTCAGTTCTTTCAAATTAGCTTCTCTTATATTAACAAAAAGGAGCATAATGGCCAAGTTATTGTTTGCTTTACAGATAATTGGCATATTGCAGGGAGGAGACTTAATTTCACCCTTTTAAATTAAACAGGGAGATTTAAAAAGACATAAAATATTCATTAATGTTCGGTGATTATAAAGTAGTGGCATATATTTATTTTGCCTTTATTACTGTTTCGATGGGAAAATACTGCAAATATTTCCGAAATCGAGTTGGCCATACTGACAAGTTGATATGTTTAAGCAGCGTTAATGCAATCTGCTCACACCTGATATCCTATGCAGAATGATTCAAAATGACTGCATCAATTATTAAAAGAAATATTTAAAATTCTGTAAATGTGCAATTGTGTGCCACAGTTGGCTGAAACTGTTCTCTATAGACTGCTATTTAGATTATCAAATATATTTTTAAACTTCAAGGGCTTGAAAAACAGTAAATATTTTTCATACCATTTTCTAATATTATTTGGCAAGTATTCCAGAAATGTATTTTACAAAGACAGATATTATGTATGTCTTGGCCAGAGTTTGGCAATTTCTTTCTTTCTTATTGTTTTGCTTATTATTCTTTCTTCTTCCTTTGTTTAATTTATTTAAAGTGGTATTTTAAAATATTGGTTGCTAAGAAAAAGAAATGTTTCCAATGTCAGTGATTTTTTTTTTTATTCTGGAGTAGATAGGTATACAAAGTCTCTTTTATTCTGCACTACTTAACATAAAGATGTGAATCACACTCAGTAGGTCTAGCATCACACTTTCCAGGCCTAGTCCTATAATTTATCTCCTTCACCTTCAGGAATACGTGGGGAGTTTTAGAAGGATAAAGTGTTCTTAAAACACAGCCATGCAAACTGCAGTAACATACAAGTTTGTCTCTTTTTTTTTTGTGGCAAGATTGAAAGCCAGTTTGATCATAAGATTAAATAATAAACTCTTGGAACTATTCTGCAGATTTTATAGTAAATGTGGTTTTACTATTAGTGTGCAGGTAATTATGCCATATAATAAAGTGTACATTAAGCTTTACTACCACTTTTAAGAATCCCTTTTCAGTCTTGTTTGGTCTAAGACTGAATTCTGACAAATACACTATGTTTAGAGAAAGGAAGAAATTAAATACAAAACAAAATCTTGGTTGTGTTTTTTTCAATTTTGTAGTATTTGATTTTTGTATTGTGGGTGAATCTGACCCCCCAGTTTTAGAGTATTTAAATTTTTCATAGCTTTTGTATTTTAAAGAGTAATGTTTTATAATACTACTACTCTCTCTCCCTAATCCTACCACACTTCCAGGGTTGTTTCTATTAAATGAAGCCAGACTTAAAAGTGTACTTTTTAACTTTTAATTGAACAAGATGCATTTTAAAACAACAACAAGAACAACAATGGATTCGAAAATGGCTTGCAATTGACCATATGGTCTTGCGAGTTAGTGGGGATAAACAGTTGTACACGTGTTTGTTCATTTTGGCTCTGTGGTCTCTTACCTTGCAATGCATGACTTACGTCCTGTAGGTGCTCTAGACTTTAAGCTACTTAGATATTGAGGTTATTTATTTATTTTAAAGCTCTTTATAAATCCTTCCACTTAAATTATTCTCCTACTTGGGAAAGGAATAAGCAATATAAAAAAAATCATAATGGAGTGAGTTGCAAGTAGCCATAAGAAAAATGTTCTCTCTTTTCCATTTTGGCAAAATAACTTGTGAAAATTTTCAAATAATTTAACAATAGCTTTGTGACAATCTGTCTTTTACCTTTTTGGGTCCTTAATTAGCTACATGTCACACTTTATAATAGTACAGTTCTTTAAAAATTTCAACAAGCTTACCTTATTTTAATGAATTTTCTATGCTGAAAATTTACATTTTTAAACATAATTATACAAATTCTAGTAATTCTTTCTGATTCTATTTTTAAATCTGTGGCTATAAGTGAACTTGCAATGGATTAAATTAAGGAAAAAGAAAAAAGTAAAAAGAATGATTTGCTTACTGCAGATCCTAAACCCAGGTGTGGAACGGTTGTATAAAGTCCCTGAAATCAAGCCAACTTTTCTTGAAACTGATTCTTTGTTATCCATCTTACTATATCAAAAGCTTCTTTAAGCAAAATACTCACTTTTCTTTAAGAATAGGTGTCATACAAGCTTAAGTAATAATGGCATGTCCCAAAATAACAATGATAAGAAACCTAAGTATTTTGGGTATAGAACCATGGAGTTTTATTTCATTATTACCGTAAGACACATAAAGGATAGTTATTGGAATTATTTTAGCCTTTTCCAAATTTTTCTTACCCCAGAATTCACACTATTGCTATTAATGTTGGTTTAATTATTAATGAGAAATGGAAAGAATGAAAGGGGAAAATTTTGGAAACTTGATATATTTTGCATGTAGCAGTAAGACATTTCATTACTAATAATTCCATGTTGTACAAATTAGTGATTGTGTAGTGGGAAACCAATGAACTTTGAATTAACAACAAGTGAACCAAATATATAAGTCATCCCAGTTCTTAAAAATAATCTTGGCTAAATAATTGTGGAGTGGGGGGAGGGAAATGAGCCTAACTCCTATTCTGAAAATTTGGACATTGTGTTAGGTTTGTATGTTATGTCTAGTTTTGTCTACTTACTGCTTTCTCAACTTGCTTGGCTAACATATATTTTGGACTATTCTTTAATGCTGGATGCTAGTAACAGTAATTAAATGTGTAGTATTTTATAGATCATACTAATGAGCAATTTTCCAAGTAGTACATTTTACTATAATTTTTTACCTAGCATGCCCTTTCTGTGTTTTAAATATTTATTTATTTAATTTGGTTGGTTGGTTGGTGTTCCAGTATGGGGAGTATAAGGGATGCTGGCACAGAACTGAAGGGAAGACTAAGTTAGCTTGAGAATGTGCATATGCAAGAGGGTAAATTAAGTTGTGTGCTTATTTAATTAAAAGTTTAAGTGATTTGCTTTTACTGCAAGATAAATGACATATATAAGCTCAATTAGAGTGAACCAATTTTAATTAGTATATCATGGTTTGATATGTGTTTATATATATATTTTAAATCACAAATGACATCTTAGCACGAATGAAAGAGATATAATTTCTTAAGCAAGTGGGCAATGAATTCAAGCCTTTATTTATCTTTCAAAAAAAGGAGACTACAAGTTTGCATGTATATTATTAGTTCTACATTGCATTTTAAAATTGAGATCTGTAGTAATCATACTGCTTCAGGTTAACAAATTAGTGATGATCATTTTATAAATATTGAGGTTTCCTATGAATCTTAATAAATTATCCCCTTAGGAAATAATTTAAAATAATATTTACATAGCAACTATTTGAAACTG